GGGCCCGAGCCTGGATCTTTGCTTCGGCCTTGGCAGCAACCTAAGACATTCCCAGGCCTGGACCGTGAAAAAGCTGTCTAGACGACCCAGGAAACCGGTCAGTCCTAAAGCTAGGTATATGAGAACGTTTCACATTACTCCCTTAGATCCAACTGCCTTTGTGTCAAGGTTAAATCGCCGATCCCTTCCTCCAGATAGTACACAATACTGAGGTCTAGTCTGAATAGGAAGCAAGAAACTTGGACCGGCACCTCGAGCTGGTCTAGTGTTGACCTTGGGACCCATACGGCCGGTCACCCCTCTCTGGCAAAAAGGACTGGAATATAGATAGAAGGAAACATACGGCATGAAAGAAAAGACAGGGATGCAACCAAGAGACAAGAGTAAATTCCAGCAATACTCAAGCAAAACATGCCATTTCTGAAATATCGCTCACTTTTGACCGCCGTTCACTACCCATCCAGCCCATTCTCCTTCCTCCACTCTCTAATCCGAACGAGCAGCTTCTCCCGGCGCGCAAGACCTTGGGGACCCCAAACGCCTTCCTTGGTAGGATAGAATTCATCGAAGCGGGGCTTACCATCGTCCGCAACCTCGACGAACGGAAGCTTACTGCGCATAAAGATGTAGACATCCGGACCGCCCAGCAGCGCAGGGGCGTCGAGGGTGCCGACGCGGAGGAATTTCATCAGGGGGCCTGTACCGTCGTAGTTGCTCCAGACGGGCGTGAGACAGATGGGACAGCGAGCAATGTGCTGAGGGGCGCCCGAGTCGGCGGGGACGGGGAGGATCACGGGTGAAGGGATACCTGCCTGGACGCGGCGTTTGCCGGCATCGTCAGTATCATCATCGCCCTTGCCCTTGTTCTCGCCCGTCCCGTGAACATTGTCGGCGGGCCTGGACTGCTGATGCTGCCTGGGAGTCCAATCATCAAAGGCAGACTCCGGGAACGACGCCAGCGGCTGCAGCAGCGAGGCGGACTTGCTCGGGAGGAGGGTCACCTCGTCTCCCTCGACGACGGCGTTGAGGGCGAAGGCGGTGCCGGTCTCACGCTGGCAGGAGGTGCAGTGGCAGCAGTGGACGACCATGGGCGGGGCATTGAGGGAGTATCGGATGTTGCCGCAGGCGCAGCCGCCGGTGAGGGGGAAGATGGAAGGGTCTTTTTCGGCGGTGGAGTGAGACATTGTGGTGTTTGTATGAAAGTTTCTTGTTGACTCGTTTGTGTGGTTCGGCTTTTCCCTTTTCTCGACGGTTGTGGCCCGTTTCGGTCGTGCGTAGGTGGAGAGACCGGGTAGTTTGCGTCCCGGGTGATCAACGACAAAGGGTCCAGACCTGGAAAGATTGCTGACGGTTGACAGGTCTCAGCGGTGTGCCTTTGTTCAAGAATTCCAGAGGGTGGCGAGGGTTTGTATTCTCTTCGTGCAGAAGGGGGTGGGAAGGGGGTGGCAGGTCTGCCGTCTGGGTTGGCAAAAGTGTGTAAGTGGGATGTCTGCGGGGGGCTGGGAGGCAGGAGCGATTGACTTACATCGGCGTGAAAGAGAGGAGGTGTCTCGGAAGGACCCTGAGCCTGGGCAAACAGAGTCAGAAAAAAGTGAAAACTTCCTAAAAAGAAGAAAGGATGGATGGGTAAGAGGAGGAAGAAGATGGAGGGGAGAGGTGAAACGAAAGGGCGCGAGGAGTAGGAGAAGGAGGGCAAGGCTTTGTTGACAGGCGAGGAGGTGAGGGAATTCGAGCGTGCCCAGTCAGCGTTCAGGTGATGGCCTGAATAGGCAAGTTTCTTATCTAATCGCTGTAGATGACACTTTTCCCCTCTTCTGCTGTGCCCTTTTTGCATCACCCTTAGGCAGACAAAACCAACCGAAGAGAAGCGAAGTAAGCTGACAAGCGGCAGATAATTCGTTTCTTCATGATCAACTTGAACAAGTTTTGATATTTGCCCATGATTCATCTAGATATGATGTGTCGTTTGATGGACACGACAATCGTCTACTGCGGATAACCCTTGAACCAGACTCGTACAAAATTTGGGCATAGCCTGACGATCGAAGTCTCCGCATCCTATGGAAAAGTCGGTATGGCAATCCCTAAGACTGAATGAAGCACTGGTGTTGTACGATTCTCTTGGCTTCGGGGGGTACAGGCATTTTGAAGAGGTCATTAATGACAGCTGTGGTGTTATGTGTGGTGTTGTGAAGGAAGGGGTTGGGTGGTTGACTCAGACAGACCCTGGAAGGGGGCTCTCGCGCCCCACGGCTTACACGTTACACCGGGCTTGAAGCATCACAGGGTCTGAATCGTTCTGACCTAGGTGGGAGGCACACACCGAGACGGAGGAGGGCTACATTCCGATCGAAGGCGGGTTTTTCATCGTTTGACGCCGGCGTGATTGTTCCAACTTTGGACACCGTTAGATGACGTTTGTGGTGTTTTTTCCTGCGTCATTTGTCTGGTAGCAGAAAAAACCGTTGAGTCTGGGATATAAACCGTCGGCGCCCTCCAGTTCCGTTCTAGACCTCTCGAGGCAGCCAGAATACACAAAACACTGCAAAGGGAACGAGAGTTTACCAACCTCAGCTCTGGAATTCATCAAGCCCAGCCAGCCAGCCACCTCGAGATCGAGTCCAGAAATTTAAAAACGCCACGCGAACCCGCCTACGATAATGCAGCCCACTGCCCTCTTTGGAATTCTGCTGCTTCTCTCTTCGCAAGCACAGGCCGCACCATCGTCGCTTCACTCTCACCTCCAGCGCCACAGAGAACGCGCCGCAACACACGCTCACTTGAGCCACCAGCACGCAAAGTTAAACAAGAAAGTCGAGCCAGCCGAGCCCGAACCCGAAGCGATGAAGACCTTCAGAGACATCGTACCACTATTTCAAAATCTCATCGCCACGGAAAAGCCCTCATCACCGTCACCCTATGTTGAGTCGACGTTGACGCCTCCTCCGTCTCCAAAGCACAATGATGCAGCATCAGACCATGTCGACTCAGACTCCGACGACTCACAGCAACTACGAGGAGTGAGGACGAACCCAGTCCGCGAGCAACAGACGTTACCTGACCGAGCTAAGCTGGCGGCGATGGGTCGAGGGCAGAGCCGCGTGAGGTCGGTCGCGGATATCGTCGACAGCCGGCATGCTGACTCTGCGATGCGGTTGCTGCGAGCTCACGCTGTTGTCAGGCATAACAAATTTCAGCGTGAGATTTGAGAGAGACCGTGATGGAAAGGCGTGTTTTCGAATGCTTGTATTTAGATTTGGCATGAGTTGGGCTTTGAGCAGCTATGGTCCTGGCGGCTGTTGACTAAGCCACCTGGTAGTTGTGTGTGTGCGGAATGATGAGATGAAGGAACCAAGCCCGCCGCGGGATCGGCGGGACGCGCGACGATAGCACTTGATGATAGGGCTGGCGATATTTTTAGAATGCAGAATAATACCACTTTTCGCCTATAATGGACGCTTCTCTTGATTTTTCGAGGTGCCTTGCTTGATGTTGATCGTTGGCTGAGGCGAAAAACCTGCTGGACTTGTCTGAGAAGAATTGGATACTGAAATGCGATTGTCGGTAATTGCGTCAGGTATGGGGATGAAGTTCTCCATCTGTTACAGGGAAAGCTGGTAAGCGTGGGCGATCTGTTGGCGAAATCGTGTCAGCACCGCTTCCATATCCCTGTTAGCATCGAGTAACACTGTAACGGCGGGCTGCTCAAGTCTCTCGGAGACAAGAATCGTCTCGCCAGCAGGTTCTCAGTCTGAAGCGGCTAAAGAAACGTTGGCGGTTCGAGATGTCTCCCTTTCGTTATGACGGCATGCTGATGACCTTGGAGTACTTGGCACCTGGTAGGTTTATCGTCTTGACGCAGCCGCGGAATAATTGAGTAGATTGACGATTGACAACCTGTCACTGTGATTTGTACACTGAGGCTCCGGCGAGGAAAAGATGAGATGTGTTTTTGTTTCGAATCGAGTCAAGCCGTCCCGTCATGTTTCCTTTGCGCACGGAGAACGGCCCCACGATCCACCAGGGTGACGATCACCCGAGCCGTATAGATGCATAGAAATATACTGTTTTGAAGCTGCGTGTAGAGGCATTATGTACAGTATGGATGATTGTTAAAGACGGTATTTCTCGGACCCACTGATTGGTGCATAAAGCCGGACCTCCACCGAAGCTGGCCTCCGATGGTGATGTGCAGATACGGGGTTCGAGGTACTTTAATCTTGGCGCGCTCAAGTGGCCCGGGTATTTTCCGTCGCGGTTTGGCTTCGGGGATTGGCGCACCTCAGCTCTTCCCCCGGGATGAGAAGTCGCCAGCAAGGCAGCATTTCCGAGGTATTGACGACCTGGCTCTTGCTGGCTTCATCCTACTGCGCATCGTGTACCTTTTACTTAGGTACCCCGTCTGTTCCAACCTGCCATCCTGCCAGCGCACTTGCAGTGGTTAGTCACGGGAGCCAAATTGTCGATCCCACTCCTACCTACCATAGCTCACCTACCATCTCCTTCATCCCCTTTTGACACTTCTCGACCTCACGATAGCGCGCGCGACGCCTACGACCACGCACCTCTTTCTCGACATCCGACAATTGACTAGCACTACACCTTTGCTTGCGATCACCAACGAGCCTTTGTACTCTTTGTGCCGTTATTGGGGAACTTCCTCTGGTCCATCCTCCCATCGCTCGCCGGCTACGAAACGTCCTGTTCAAAGCGCCCAATTGCTGGGGAAGCTCCGATACGCTTGGGCTTCTGCATCGTTACACAAAAGGGAGCCTCACATCGGCAGCCATTCCTCGATTTTGATCCCACCGCTGTCGACTCCCACCCACCGTGGCATTCACCGACAAAGCCTTACGAGGGACGCACCGCCTGTTGTACCATCCTGCCGCTCGCCATTGACGTGTTTGCGACTCTCAGTACCGACTTCTCGAATCTGCTTCTCACGTCGCATTTAAATACCCTTGCAAGCGTCGGCCATTTCGCGACACAGAATCTTCGAGATGCCTTCGCAAAGGCAGTTGCGCACCCTCCTGGTGGGTGTGCTGATTGGTGTCGTCTTCGTGTTGTTTTACACATCTTCCTTGCGAGCGAACGAAGTCAAAGACGAGCGGACCATCCAAGATTTCTACCACAAGACGGTCAATGGACTGAAACACAAACAACCGCCGGGCCAAGCGGTGCTGGAAGGGAATAAGCCCAAGGCAGCTGGCCACGTGCCTGTTGACAAAGATGCCGATGGCGACGTTGACGCCGACGACGAGAAGCTCGCCAAGGATATGCAAGGACGCCTGAAGGCCGCCGAAGACAAGGCCAAGGAACTTGCCAACAAGAAATCACCACTGAAGCCTGATGCGCCTAGCGACGTCGTCGGAAAGGGCAACTCTGCTGCTGGACAAAAGAAGAAGGAAAAGACGGCCAATGGCAAAGAAGTCTCCGAGACTGAAGAGGAGGAGAAGAAGAAGGACGAGAGCGATGAGGAACATGCTGTCGAGGTTGAGTTGAACTCCATCTTGAAGAAGTCACCAGGTATGTTAACGTCAAGACTCGTGAAACAAATGCCAGCTAACCAGACCAAGTCATCATCTTTTCCAAGTCTTACTGCCCGTACTCGAAGAAGGCCAAGGCATTGTTGCTCGAAAAGTACTCGATCGAGCCCACACCATACGTTGTCGAACTGGATAAGCATCCTCTTGGCCCTCAGCTGCAGGCCTTCCTTGGCGAGAAGACTGGCCGGAAGACAGTTCCCAACATCTTGGTAAATAGTGTGAGCATAGGTGGAGGCGACGATGTCATCGAGCTTGACAGCCAAAAGAAGTTGGTACCCAGGATCATTGACCTTGGGCAGAAGAAGGTGGAGATGAAGGAACGGTCTGCCAACAGCCAGAAAAACAACTAGCTCTCTTGAGTCATTCAACTTTTATTTCTACATTTGCTCGACTTCCACCATATGGCATCATCGTGGGCGAGGCGAAGCGGGCATTAGGGAACCACGGGAGTTCGAACTGGTGGTGGGTACCCCAGTACTGGACATTGCATATTTTTGGCGTTGGTGATCGGTTGAGCTCGCGCGCTCTCGGCGGCGAGCACTCAAGGGGACGGTATGGGCTCTCGCCAGAGCTTGAAGGCTGGACGAAGCGTGCCGCAGACGACTGCGCAAGTTCCGTAATGATGAGGGACGTGTATGAATAGTGTGGCTGAAGATGCTAGGGCGGCACTGGTAACCTGGCATCGCCTCCTTGTGCGGTTGTGTATACACGCAAATGGCTCGCTGTCAGCTTGTGTCCTGTTCTTGTGTGCTCCCAAACCATGGACTTTTGGCAACAGGCCGCCAAGATGTTGCTCCTCTTGTAGACATAATTATCATAAGATCACGAGCCTTCATGGAAGCCATATCGGCCAACTTCTCTTCTGTAAGGTCGCGGGCTGGAGCCGACTTCCTAGTTGATTCTTTTCCCGCTTCGAGTCTGATTAGGATTCCCTCTATCGACAAACGCCGTTTAAGGTATAAGGATGACGGAGCTGTTATCTTCGTTCCTCGGTACTGCTCCAGCCCGATTATCTTCTTTGAGTCCGGACCTGCTATTCTTATCAAGAGCCATCACTGAGGGGCAGGGTTGGATTGTGGTCGGAAGAGAGTGGAGGGGCTTAGCTATGCCCCTCCTTGCGCAACTGTCACGATGCGCCTCATATAGCTTGGCAAGACCAACCGGGTTACACAGCACCTTTCTCTAAACTGGGTCCATTCCGTGAAATCAAAATGCCGCACTAATACTAGAATTGCCCTCTTTGATGATCGCTGACACCATTTTTGGGACAGGGACGAAATCTGGGGCGGAGTGCGGCCTGTGTCGTCAAGTGAGAACCTGGATGGCCGATCGCGACGTCGTTCAAGGACAGCCGGGTGCGCACTTGACTTGCACTTGCGATGCTATATCTCTGTTGGTTGGTCTCTTTCCGTATCTCATTTCAACTATTCAACTCTCAGATTGAAAGCTTTTGGATGATTTGCTGTGAACTGTGAACCACTGCTCTCGTCAACTATCTCATCTGAATCTCAACTTTAAAGAGCGGAGTGATTCAGAACACTCTGGGCCCTGACTACTTATACGCGAGTGGCCTACCTCTTACACACATTACCGCATCACGAACTCGATTCTCACAGAACATTCCATTTCAAATCACTTCAAGTTCAATTTCTCGCTTTTACTCTCACATATCTACTATTCACATACTCTGGTGCAAGCCTGAACACCAGAACGGCCACGGTTGACAGCAAGGCCTAGGGCAGCAGGAGCAACGAAGGGGTCAGAAGTTTCAAGAGCGATACTGGCTCACCTCCTGCTACCTATCCTCACAACCACACATCTCAGAGGGTCAGAGGGCAATCGCAGGCCGATCGAGGTTGTTTCGAAACCCCCTTGTTCATTCAACTGCGTTTTGTACAACCTCTACTCCAACATTCACCTACAATACCTTACTACCATCTAAACCTCGGATAACAATGTCTTCACTCTTACCCGGCCACCTCCTCCTCCTCGTAGCAGAGCACGCAGACTTTGCCCAGATCCAAGCCCTCCGAGCAACCTGCAAGACTAACCGCGCCCTGCTGGATAGCTACCAGCACACCGTAACAAGAGTCAACACCGCCCGGTACCCCTGCGCACCACGCAACCACATCCTTGCCTCCGACACCCGCGAGCGCGAGGTGCTCCCAAAAGACACCTTTGATACCATCCGAGAGCTAGAGACGCGGCACCGACACATTGAGGATATCGTCCACGGCTCATACCTCGCCTTCTGGGAGGAGTACGGGCTCCAGGACGCGAACAAGGCGGACACCATCCGCTCGAACCTCAAGAGAGCGCTCTGGCAGTGCTCGGCGATCGCCGACTTGGAGACGCACTCGATACGGTACAGGGACGACGTCGTCCCCCGCCGGGACCCTTGTGTGAAGTCGCTGATCCATCAGGAGATTATACTGCACGACGCGCCGCCACCCGATGGCTGGCACCTGGCTTTGAGGGAGGTCCACGAGTCTAACCGCCAGGATGTGCGGTTCCGTCAAATCGCCCACGTCCGCAACGACCTCTCTGCACAAGACCTCGCGGGCATAGTAGTCCTCGCGCACCTCGCTAGTCAAGGGTATCGGAGGTACAGGGCTCCCACGACGAACGGGCTGAGCCGGCCTGAGGTTATCGAGATGGGCGTGTGTATGGCGGAGAACACCATCCGCCACGGCGTCTTCTTCTTGTACAGCAAGGTAGTAGCGGGCGAGGATGACGAGGACGGGCGGCACCACGCGAGGCTGCTTCTGGATGATACCTTTGATGAGATGCGGCGGTGGGAGGCGGGAGATCCCAGTGTGCTTCCCGGTCTGACGATGAGCGTCGCGTCTACGTTTTGCGAGAAGATTGGGTGCGAGCACCGGGATATGCTGGATGCTGCGTGTACGTTATTGAGGGGGGATGTGTGGCGTCCTGCGGCGGAGGAGGACGAGGGGGAGGAGGTCGAGCCTGAGGCTGGGAGGGAGAAGCCTACTGGGGAAGAGGTTGAGCAGGAGTTTGATGTGGCGGAGGGAGAGGGTGGGGAGCAGGTCTCGTGAGGGTTCACCTGGGATAGGATACATTGGATACTTATGAATGCATGATGACCCTATAAAAGTTTGCTCCGAAGATTCCCAGACCAGATTCATTTGTCACTATGCCCCCTTCTTCTCGTTATTTGTAAAACATATTGCAGTACGGAGGCTTATAGAAAGAAGAGTGAGACGAAGGAGTGAAGTTCTATAGTACAGCTATCTCGCACGACAGTGAATCACGAAAAGGGACAGTGAACCTCACGGTCACGGCCCATATTGGTCGAGTATTCTACTGAATCCCTCTGCCGCCCCCCTTATTCTTCACCATTCTCGTTGTGTTTCATTGAGACTTTCGAAATTTCGTGATGTTTGGGTGTTACGTCCCGTGATTGACAACCTACCTACCGCCCTCGGATAGCTCGAGGGAACGACCAGGAAGTTTATCCCTGTACTAAGACCTGGTGTACTTTCGTCTTTTTACTCTGGGTAATCATCTTTTTACGGCATGGGTGTATGCTAAGGTAGATATGTAGACATGAAAGATGAGGGGTGGTTCAGGACTTGATAACCGCTCAAATCCAAGCTTTGAGAGCTCTTGCTAATATCAAGTCACATCGATTCAACCGGAGAGATGTCTGGCTTTATCACGGGGATCGAGAGGCGAATACTTTCTGGAAGAAGGCGTGTGTCCTGGTGATACGTTCCAGGGTACAAGGAAGTCTGTGAAAGCTCGAACGCTCCTCTAGTCGATTTCCGTAGGCTGCGGGCGAGGTAGCCTACCTAGATTGCAGAATCCTTGACATGCACACACACACGCTTTTCACGAGGTTTGAACATTTCGTTCTTTGAACCCCTTCGTGTTATGAATCTCGTTGGGCCCCGCCGCCTGGAAACCTGCCAACTTTAGCAAAGTCAGGGAAAAGATCTAGAACATAGGTGCCACCTAGGTAACTTGGGCAGAAGCCATGGAAGCCTGAGGATGGCCTGCCCCAGCCGCCTATAGCCCGACGTCGAAGCATGATGGTAGCCTAACTCGATGGTGCCTTACGGTGTGATACGTCGTTACGGAGGAGGCTACGGGGTTTCATTCTCATAGGCAGATCCCAATGGAAGGGTCAAGACGGCTCTCGTTCGGGAAAGCCAAGCCGGTAGGAGGGAGCCTTGGCCTGCCAAGGGACTCGGAGAGATCGTATGGAAAGACAAGCTTTTTTTCTCAGGGCGTGTTGGATGAGGATTCTTTGACAGAGCCGCGTTTGTGACGACGACTGCTTCAAGTGGATGACTGCCGACATGGGTGGGCATCTTGGGAGTGAGTCCGGAGGGGCTCACCCGGCGTGGGAGATTCACATCGGGGGCGAGGGACACGTTTGTTAATTCGTCCCCAGCGAGATGTTTTCTTCGTTGGAGGGTTTTTTTTTTTTTTTTTTTTTTTTTTTTTTTTTTTTTTTGGTTTTTGGGTGGGGGGGGGGGGGTTTTTTTTTTTTTTCCTTCTTGGTTTTTTTTTTTTTTTTTTTTTTTTTTTTTTTTTTTTTTTTTTTTTTTTTTTTTTTTTTTTTTTTTTTTTTTTTTTTGCTGGGTTTACGGATGGAGGGCGGAGTGATTACTATGGATTCCACGTGTAATGCAGGACTTTTTTTTTTCTCACGATCTAACTTTGGTGGAGTATCTGCCTGTATACGTACCGCTAGGTAGGCTGTGACATGATGCGAGAACCGGCGAACTCGTTTGGGTTGTGGTGACTGGTGAGCCTGTCAGGCGAGGAGTCACCGGAGCCCCAAAGTCCCTTTCGCAGTAATGCAGTGCTTCGCATTAGGGCTGATCTGGCCCCTCGGGGGGGTAATCAGTCCGGCGTGTACCGGCCGGCAGTGGAAGTGTTCGTACAGGTAAACGTCACGGCGTTCCCCCGTAGTACTGCTGATCCAATCAATTATTCGTTGAGGCGTTTCTGGCTCGCCGAAAAAAGTCGAGATCGCTATCGTGGGTATCCATCACCAAGGTAGAGACGGGGTCTTACAATTGGTACCGCACAGTGGAGAAATCATTCCTAGACAGGGCAGATTAAACGCCAGATGTTGATGTTTTGCGTGTTTTTTTTTGTAACAATGGCGGGCGCGTTGGGGGAGTGACTCACGACGCAGGAAAGAATCTCACCGGCGGCGAGATCTCAGGTTTCTCACTGCGATGAGAGAGAGGTCTGAGTCTGTCTACCACGTATACTGTGAGGTATTCGACGAGGTAGGTATGCACAGCCGACCGGTGGTCTATCTTGCCGTCTTACAATGTTACGAGTCCTATTTGTCCTATGGCGGATCAATTCC